TTTAATTAAGCATTTCTGGGAAATCAAGTTAGTCAGCGCATTGCTTAATAAGCTTTATGTACAACAAATAAATAAAAAGATAGAAATGGATAAGTGTAAAGTGCTCAAAAAAATTCAATTAAGGCATAGCACCTTTTATCTTTTATTTTATCATAATGCTTAGTAACCAACAAACCAAATAAGGCTCATAAAATTTGATATTGATACTTATTATTAGTTTTTAATTCAATTTAATTTAAAGTTAAACTTAGTTACTTAAAATTCACTCTTCAATATACTGTAGCAAATGGTTTTAAAACAATTTTAGTAAATAACCCTAAATTAAGGTTCATCTGCACTTTGTATTGAAATACAAATGGGTTTAATATATAATTCTAATGATTACTATTTATAGAATAATGTTTGGACAAAAAATACTCTTGAAATGATAACCAATATTAATAATTTGTTTAAAATGTCTGCAAAACTAATTTATTTGTGTTACAGCATAGAAATCGTTGATAAGTAAATAAAAATCTGTTTCAACAAGAAAGAAAGCAAACTTCGGCAAGCCGAAGTTCATATACCCTTGCAGCTATTGCAAGAATTAAACATTTTTGAAAACATTAAAATTATGATTTACTTTCGTATATGTTTAAAAACATTGAAGCTATGATGATTTGCAGCTCAATTATTTGATAGTTATTTTATATATTTTTATTGTTCCTATGGGAGCTATATGATATAGTCGTCCGACTTTGATGAAATTTAAAGCGTAAATCGAAAATATTTAACCATTACTAAATGTCGAAGAACTAAACAAAAAAATAAAAAACAGAAAAGTTATAATTTTTTTTCATTTATTTTTCCGATTGTTCCTATGGGAGCTATATGCTATAGTCGTCCGATCCGGCTCGTTCCGACTTATATACTACCTGCAATAGAAAGACAACTTTTGGGAAAGTTTCATGCAGATAGCTTTAAAACTGAGAGACTAGTTTGCATATAAACGGACGGACAGACGGACAGACGGACAGACTGACAGACGGACAGACGGACGGACAGACGGACAGACGGACATGGCTAGATCGACTCGCCTAGTGATGCTGATCAAGAATATATATACTTTATAGGATCGGAGATGTCTCCTTCACTGCGTTGCAAACTTCTGACTGAAATTATAATACCCTCTGCAAGGGTATAAAAATAGTGAACTGGAATCTTTATAAAACTAGTATAGGAAAATATTTTAATTTTGTATAGTATTTGCTTATACAGTTCAGTATCTTGGGCATAAAACCACATTTGAAGCCACCATCGAAGGACTTCCGATCGTCAGCAGGCTGACCGCAAGGATCACTTGCTCTGCGGTTTCTTTGCGTTACACAGGTATTACATGCTCCAGTGGAAAAACAGTTGTCCAGGGTCAGTTGCAAATGGGTTTTTAAACGGTCCGACAACCGCAGAGATCCCTTTTTTCTTTTTTTTTAACAACAAGAAAAGGCAAGACAGCGTGAAATTATAAGTAAGTTTTCTAGCACGCACACGAGATTGGAGAACTCGGATGGGAAGGGCGCTTGGAATATCGAAAGGTAGACCGATCACGCATAACGGATCTTTTAATTAGGGCCATAAACGCGGCCCAGGGAATCAATCAAATGGGTTGCCAACAATCGAAAATCATCGCGGATCGCTGAAAGATCAACAAACCTGATCATAGCCTCTTTCCTTTGCCCCCCTTTGTATACTTTACCCACCAAAACGAAGGAGTTGCGTTTCAGTTGGTCATAAAGACGATATGGCCAAGGGATCGATCCGCCGATCGGCTCGCTAATTATGCGAAATTATTGATTATTGCGGGCTTTTCACTAAACCGCCAAATTGCGTGTACGTGCATCGCAACGACGACCTTGACAGTTAACTCGATCGCTTTTACCTTTTTACCTTTTTACCTTTTACCTGGGAACACTGGCCCAAAAATGTGCATTTGGGGTGGCAAAGGAAGAGAGGTGGTGAAGAAGCCGATAAACCATCAAATTGGTGCCAAACTTAACAGCATTGTATTGTTTTAATGCATTTAATTTCAAGAAGTTGAACTTAATAATAACTAATCTTCTTGGAAGTGCTTTTACTGCTTTTTAACAACTCCAAAATATTTTAAAATCAACTCTAAGGTATAAAAGCATCAATAAAATATCTGTACACTTTAATGAAATCAATTAGTGGACTGTCAAAAACTTTATAAGCTTTATAAAATATTTTGATGGGATTTGAATTTAATAATGCTTTTTATCAACAGACCTCATAAAAATTTGTATTCAAACAAAAATTTAATTATTTTATTGCCATAAATCCTTCAAAAGCTTTGTATATAGAAAAAGCAATCAGTCATATAAAAATGGTTTAGAAAAATAAATTGAATTCAACATTTTAAGGTTAACATTATTTTTAAAAATAAAAATCACAATCTTAAATAAAATGCTTATTAAATTGCATAATTGTAAATTAAAGTATTTGAATCAGTGTGGATTTATTGATTGTTTTTGTCAATAGACTTAATCGAAATTAAATCTTATTTAACCTTTACTTAAAGTCCCATAATTACAAACCTTAAAAAACACGTATATTGAGAAAAAAAACCTGATAAAAAACTATGAAAATATAATCGATACATATCAAATCTTTATTTATTGTAAAGGCTTCAAACATGCATAATTTGTGAAAAATATGCTATGAAAACCAGTTTTAAGAGCAAATACTGCAGTAATTTAATAACATAGCCTCGAGCGAAATTCAAATCGCGCGCACAGCCCATGGCGCCCCCTGCCGCCTGCGGCGACGAAACACAGCTTCCACTGCCCGCCGCCTAGGGGCGCTATTCACTATGCTGCATCCCTGCCTCGCCGACAGCTGATTGCCCCGATAGCTATCTCCCTCGCTCTCTTTCCATCCACGCCGTCAGTGTAAAAAAAACACAGCGGACGCCTTAATATTCGTAAATATTTGTAAATAATAGAAATTGCTGGGCAATCAAAACTAACTTAGCTTAAAACTTATTTCGACAGCTGCAGCTGAGTTCAGCGGATAGCATTTAAGCAAAAAACGGTGAGTTTCAGCAGCCGCCGGCGAGAAGTGAGGTTATGTCCGGCTGGCCCAAAAATAGTTGTCTGCATATTTTAATTGATATACATCTGATATATGTTGTATTTCCGATCCCGCAGATATATCGCAGCAACAAAAATGCCGCCCAAGAAACACGATGAACCGGAACGCAAGCCGCTGATCGGCAGAATCGGCACCAATCTGCGAATCGGCATTGTTGGCGTCCCCAACGTGGGCAAGTCGACTTTTTTCAACGTTTTGACCCAAAGTGCCGCCCCCGCGGAGAATTTCCCCTTCTGCACCATCAAGCCGAATGAGAATAAGTATTCCCCCAACACCCCCCACCCCCCTGTCATCTATATACACCATATATATATGTGGTAGCTGCAGGCGGCGGCAATTTCCTCAATCATTGTAATCATCTTGGAATATAATTTTTATGCCAGCGATGCAGCAATGGCCTGCAGGAGCAGTCGCCGCCGCTTCTAATTTCAAATTGCTCTGTCGACTGGACCGTCTAAAATAGCCACAGTGGAGCCTCGATAGGAGAACAGGAACCAGTCTTCGAGAGATGGCTAAAATATACACAATATACCAACTGTTCAACAGGTTTTGAACTTCATATATCCACAGATAGTGTGTTTAACAGAGCTTGGACCTTCTAAAATAGCCACAGTGAAGCCTCCATAAGAGGCTCCCTTTACAACAGGCGAAAACCCTTCAAAAGATGGCTAAACTAAGCCCTTTCCCATATGTTCCACACGTTTTGGATTCCATATATCCCGAGAAAGTGTGTTTAAGAGGACTTGGATCTTCTAAACTACGCACGGTAGAACCTCCATAAAAAATACCCTTTTAAAACAGTTACCTAAACTACAAGATGGCTAAACTAAACACAATACTATCTGTTCTATACGTTTTGGCTAACGTATATTCAGATAAAGTGTCTTTGAAGGGAAAAGACCTTCCAAAACAGTCACAGTGGAACCTCCATGAGAGAGACCACTTTAAAACAGGATAAGCCTTCGAGTTTAGCTGCTACCTATAGGTACAAGATGGCAAAACTAGCCACTAACTACTATTGTTTGCCATCTGTTGTGCAAGTTTTCGTCTACAAGTGACAATACTATTAAAAACTATCAGTATGTATATAAACCTTGAAAAAAGCAGAAACCTTTAGCAGTTTACTCAAGTGAACTATGCTATATCTCACTTTTATAATATTTATTGTTCAAGGACCTGAAGTTTCGCTCTAGAAAAATTAGTTCTTTTAAAGACAGTACACTTCTTTATTATTAATCTCAAAAACTATACTTAATAATGTATTTAAACCCTGAACCAAAACAAAGTTATTACAAACTTATATTTCATATATGCAGATAGACCCTAAGCATTGGTCTAGTTTTGGTTCACATAAGTCTAGGAAAATGGTTGTCAAAAAGATTGTATACTTTAACTTATACTTTCTGAACTGTAATCCAACTTCAGGTTATTTTAACATTTAGGAAATCGCTGCATTAGTTAACAATGTTCCACTGTCCTTCGAGTTGGGGGCGTGTCGCGGCCTTAGCAATTTTATCAGATCCAGTTTGCAATATGCAAATTGCCCCCGCCTTCGGTTCGGTCCGCTTCGGTTTCATTTTCCTGGGCTTTTTATTTGTGAGCGACTTCATTTTGGTTTCGCTGCCCCTTTGCGGATGGCGCAAAATTATACAAAATTGCCATGATTGGCCGTCGATGCTGCCGGCCTGCCAGGCAGTCAGTCAATCTGGGCAGGATTTTGTTTTTTATATATATTTTTGCTTATTTTATTTTCGTTTATTTTGTATTTTTGCATCGCGCAGCCAAATAAACCCGACTAACATGCATCTTCCCCTTTTGTTTTTCCCGTGCTGCCTGCCTGTTTGCCTTGCCCACACGTCGTGTTCCGGTGCCCGATGAGCGATTCGATTACCTGGTGGAGTACCACAAGCCGGCCAGGTGAGCTACAAATCCAGAATTCCCTCATTTTTAGTTTGGCATGGCTTTGAACTCATATATTAAGGCAGCCATATAATTAAAACAAAAACAAATAGAGAAACCAATTTTATTTGGCTTAGCGAGGAAAAAGAAAACATTTATTGATCACACACAACATGCGACAAACACAATTACACATAAATTAAATTCTTTGCTTGCCAAACTGCTTGTTAAGTTTACAAATCGAAGAAATATATATTTTATATGGATTAGCGATGATTTTATTATGCATTACATTACATACATTATATATCATACATAACATGCGATACACAAGGGGTAATCAACACTTATGCCTTATGGCAGTGGATTTAGCAACAAAATTATAAAAAAAAATAAAAAAAAACAAGAACAATTTCATTTGGATTAGCCATTAAAAAGAAAACATTTTTTTAACACACACCATATGCGCTACACACAATCACACACAACAAGTTCCGGAACTCGCAATTTCCATTCTTTGCTTGCAAAACTGTTCGTTTAAGTTCACCATTCAAGAAATACAATTAATATGAAACCCAAAAAAAAAAATTACGAAAACTAGTGTGGTGCCCGCCTATCTGAACGTCGTGGACATCGCCGGCTTGGTGAAGGGCGCCGCCGAGGGCCAGGGACTGGGCAACGACTTCCTCTCGCACATCAGCGCCTGCGATGCCATCTTCCACCTGTGCCGCGCCTTCGAGGACCCCGATGTGACCCATGTCGAGGGCGAGGTGGACCCCGTGCGCGATCTGGAGATCATCTCCGAGGAGCTGCGCCTCAAGGACGAGGAGAATCTGCTCAAGAATCTCGACAAGCTGGAGAAGGTGGTGGCCCGCGGCGGCGACAAGAAGCTGAAGCCCGAGTACGATTCGATGCTCAAGATCAAGGAGATCCTCATCGACCAGAAGCGTCATCTGCGCTTCGAGGACTGGAATGCCCATGATGTAAGTGCGAAAAAATCCACGTCGAGAATGTCATTTAAATAAACCTTTTTTGATATTTGCTTTTGTTGTATTCCTTTTCCACGTATTTTAAATATGCTTTAAAATGGCAATGACCGTATCTTAAATTTTTTTTTGAATTTTTAAAAACTTATAAATATCTTTAAAATATTTTTTGACCTCTTAAAAGTCAAGTTTTAAATATTTACTTTTTTAAAACATCTATATTTCTTAGAAATATTATTAATTAATTAAAATGTTGCTTATTAACTATGAATGGTTTTAATTGTTTCTACTGCTATAACATGTGTTTTGTGTTTGCTGTGCTCTGTTTGTATAAATTATGTTTATAACTTTATTTTATTAATTGTTATTTCTTAAAAGAAACATCTCTGTTTCTTAGAAATATGATTTATCAATTCAGATTTTGCTTACAAACTATTACAAACTTTACACTATAAACTATTACTGCTATTACATGTTGTTTGTGTTTTTTTTATGCTCTATTTGCATAAACAATGTTTTGTATATTTTATATACTCCCATAATCAAAAAAGACATTCTTGTAGATTTTTTCGTGTGACCCGTGTGGATTCGGCATCCCGTTCTTATTAACGCTACCACTACGCCACTCTTTCAGATTGAGGCGCTGAACAAGTATCTGTTCCTGACCTCCAAGCCGGTGATCTACCTGGTGAACCTCTCCGACAAGGACTTCATCCGCAAGAAGAACAAGTGGCTGCCGAAGATCAAGGAGTGGATCGACAAGAACGATCCCGGGGCACTGCTCATCCCCTTTTCGGGTGCCTTCGAGCAGCAGATGTCCGAGAAGGACGAACTGGAGCGCAAGGCCTACGAGACGGAGACCAAGTGCAAGAGCATGCTGGAGAAGATCGTTGTAACGGGCTACAAGGGGCTGCAGCTGGAGTACTTCTTCACCGCCGGACCGGATGAAGTGAAGGCCTGGACCGTCCAGAAGGGCACCAAGGCACCGCAGGCCGCCGGCCGCATTCACACCGACTTCGAGAAGGGCTTCATCATGGCCGAGGTCATGCACTTCGAGGACTTCAAGGCCGAGGGCAGCGAGGTCAATGCCAAGGCGGCCGGCAAATACCGACAGCAGGGACGCAACTACACCGTCGAGGACGGCGACATCATCTTCTTCAAGTTCAACGCCGGCGCCGGCCTCAAGGATGCCAAGAAGAAATGATACCGTCTGGCCATGCTTATCGCCATGTCCACCGTTCTGTACATTAACTTGATCTTATACTCCCAGATGTTTCGCTTCGCCAGAGGCTAGCTCCTCATTTTCCCCCCACGCCCATCCCCTCCCCAATCAATACCCAAACATCCACACTCATGTTCGAGGCCCGAAAATGCATTTTGAATTTCCTTTTTTTTTGTACGCTATGTAAACACGCTTATGACACACACTCAACCGTTGTTTCTTACTGTTTCTGGCGGGATTTCTTTGCAGCTTTTATTATTTTATTTTTGTATACGAATTTTTTTTTTTTCTATGGTAAAAATAATTAGAAAGTGATGTCTTTTTACTGTAACTATGAATAGCAACTTAAAATGCAGCTTAATTATTGTTACTTTTTTTTTTTTTTGATAAGAACTCTTTTTTTTTTTTTTTATTGTGAAGAAAATTAAGGAACTTATGTAGTGTTTCCAATAACATACTATTAATCTGAATAACAACTTATGCTATAGGATTTGTTTACAGCTTTTTTTTCGATAAGAAATTTATTTTTATTATAAGAAATTAGTTTTTCAACTCATTTTTATGGTGAAGAAAAATTAGAAAGTAATGTATTTTACTGTAACTATGAAAAGCAACTTAAGCTACAGGATTTGTTGTTTTTTTTTTTGTGAAGAAAAATTCGGAAGTGTTCTTGTTTTACCTTTATACTGCATACCGCTACATCTATTTATTTTTGTTAAGAGAAAACAAAATATTTTTTTATTGCATTGTGTGCTGCGTAAGACTTAGTTCGATTTCACACTTGTGAAATGTACAGTTATTGGGATTTTATTTTGGTATTTATCTATTTTAAACAGGTAAAAAGTAAGGAGTTCGGAGTTGAGATACTTGGCTGTGCTGAAATTAAACAGCTTATCAAATACAAAGAAAGCATTCTCGTAGTTGAATTTGTTTCTCTTGAGAAAAACCTTATACCCAAAGGAATAGATTGATAAACTTGCAAATTTATTGTAAGCTGCACATGGACTTGTATACTTTCTACAAAAATAAAGTAGCAGATATGGTGTATTTATAAACTTAAGCTTTGTATTGAAATGTTTTTGTCTCTGCTGAATAAGCTAATTTTGTTCAAAACTTATCAAAAACTCTTCAGATTCTGGAAATGGATTCCCAACAATCCCAAAAGTAGCCTTTTCTTTTAAGGGTTACACTGTTGTTTCCCCTTAATAAACCTATAGATCTACGCCTTGTTGTGCTACATTTTTGGTCCTTGCTTAAAATAAAACAACGCGTATTGACATTTCTTGGGCCACTGACAATCTCGGCTTTCTATTGCTTCGCTGGGGTGAAACTTTTTAATCATGCTGCTGGAAACAAAGTTGCTGAAAGCACCTGTGCAAACCGAACCAAACCAAACCAAACCAGAGCCAGCAGTAAAATCGGTCAAGTGCAAGGAGCAGAAGAGGCTCAAAGACTGCGTTTCTGCATTTGCTGCATTTCTGCATTTCTGTGTGGCGATGTGCTGTGCAAATGCAGCTGCTGCTGCTGCTGCTTCTACTGCAATCCAGTACACAAAGGTTCGGTTGCACTGACTTTGGTCGCAGCGGCAACTTGCTAAGCACATAATTTGGTTTACCGCATTGCCAAACATGTGCCGCCAGAAACACGCACATTCCGTCCCGCCCAAAATCCCATCCTCGAAAAAGCCCCCCTTTTTGTTGCCTACTCTGGGTTCTGTTAATCTTTGCCCAGCAACTTTTCCTCAGCACTGTGTGCAAATCTTGGCATCTAGTGTTGATTTTGAAATTCAACATTTATTTTATGTGCGGAAAATGGGTGTCACAGTATTTGAAACTCAACAAAAAAAGGCATTTGCAGATTCTGAAGAGTTTTTGATAAGTTTTGATGTTAATTTGCTTAGATTTTAGAAACAAAATTTGTTAAGTAATTTTTTGCCTGATTTTTCAACCCATTTCATCCTCAAAACCAGTTTTTCAAGTTAGCCAAATAAGCTTTTTTAAAATCTCATGTTGATTCTGAAATTGAACAAATATTTTATGGTTTAAAAATGGGTGTCACAGAAATTAAAAATCGTTTTCAGCTCTATATTAGTTTTTGGTAATATTTTATATATAAATATAAGAACATAAGAAAATATGTAAGCATATCATTTTGGGGCCTTAAAATGTATTTATACATTTATATCTTAAATTATTTAAAACTTTTGAATATTAATAAAAATTTTAGAAATTATACAAATTTTTCTTGTTATTCACAATCATATTCATCATATTTCTGGATTTTTTTCAAAGGTTTACCAAAAATGCAATCTTCAACAAAAAACACTATTGGTTGTTTTAAAAACTGTAAAGAATGTTTGAAGACGTCGTGGATAAGTACTAAACAAGGCTTTTGTATATGTAATTTAAGTGCAAAACTGCTTCTAATTTTACCTTGTTATTTCAGCCATCGGTGCCACTGTGCCTTGTGTGTGTGTTGGCTGCAAAAGTTTTTTGCGTGAGCCCCACAACTTTTCATATGAAATGTGCAAAATTACACACTCCTCCGGCCAAGAAACGAGCCGAGAAAAATATTTGGAATGTTTTATTAGCTCAAAACTAGCCAAAAAAGGGGGCGTTGTGTAAGGTGAAATGGAGAAATGGAGAAAGGCAATTCCAGTGGATTTGCAGTTAATTAAAGTGTAATGTCTGCCCATGTACGGCTGGATTGGTCGGATTGGATCGGATTGGATTGGATGGTGGAGGAGCACAGAAAAGTCAGCAGGAGGGTGCCAAAACGTTGACAAGGCCCATCAGAGGAGCGTGAAATATGACCACTTTAGAGTCCGGCCAAAAGGGCCGTTTGCCGTCGAAATGCTCGGTCCTCAACGCACGTCAACAAAGGGGCCAAACACAAATCATTCGGCAAACAACAAGTCGGCAAAATGGCGATTTTCAGGTGAGCGAATCGAGCGATACGCTTTGGGTATATTAAAATGCTTAGATAAATAATATTTAGGGAACAAGAGAAGTAACTAAATTAAGTTGTAATATCTTATTTAAGATATATTAAACATTTTCCAAAAGATTTTTCGGAGAACTAAATTTATTACTTTTGTATACATTTATTTAAAAGTAACAACAATTATTTACAGATTTAATTTAACCCGAATTAATTATCTGATGAGCCAGTGAGCCATGTTAAAATTATGATTTATTACTTTCGCTTACACTTATTTAAAATTACCTACAATTTTATAAAAATTTCTATACATAACAAATATTATAAAAGAATATTTAGAGCACAAGGGATTAAACTCAATCATTTATGATCTATTTAACATTTTGCAAGAGATTTTTCGACAAGTTGTATACAAAATTATAATTTGTTACTTTTGTTTACAGTTAATTACACTTAATTAAAATTTATTTGATTGATATTTCTTTTGTCAGCTAGCTTTTTAATATGATAGAAATAGCATCAGAATAAATCTAGACAATTTAATTTATCTCCCTTTAAATTAAGCTTTATTTTTTGTAACGTTTACTGGATCGTTTATGTATAACATAAACAGTGGTTATCGCCTTTTTTTTACAAGTTTACCATTAACATTATGGTTATTGCATTTTTTACCTATTACTTTTTTATGTGCAATTTAGCTAATTTTTAATGAATTTCCTCCAAGTTAAAGGGAATTCTCCCGATCTTTTTGAAATAACGAAAACATAGCCAGCTAGTCGTAGATGCGTGGCTTATTGTTGTTTTTCTTGTCCTATGGCTCCGTCATTCATGCACTTAGTTCAGAAAAATTCAGAAATTCATTCAATTCAATTGAAAAATGGCGCTAGGAATATTTGACGCATGCGAAAGGGAGGGCGTTAGATGGGGGCGGTGGGTGGTTAGGGGGGCGTGGCAGCATCAGCATCGGCGTCAACATCAACTGTCACTTGCAGGGCATCGTGGGCAGCAAAGCGTTAAAAATGACTGTCATAAATTAATGAGCGACAGCGGCGTTCGAGTGACGCATCGAAATTGAATTGAATATATATTTTTCGCTGAATTGGCATTCATTATTCATTTACAGCAGCTGTCTCTAGACATTCGTATTTCATGATTTAAACATATATATTTTCTTCTATTGCTGAGTACCTTTAATTGCCTGCTAAAAAAGTGCATTGCACCAAAGCAGGCAACTATTTTACCCATCTTCTCGTTGACGCTGTCGCTGTCGTCTCAATTTCAATCCCAATCTGCCCATAAACGTGACAATAATATAAATCAGCAGATTGTGCTGATGTTCTCGGTGGGCTTCCACAATCTTAACGTCATAATCACGTTTAGCCGCCCACCACCAGCATGGCCACCACTATCATCATTATCATCATTATCATTATCATTATCATCGGCTGCAGGACCCCATCATCATTGTTCCTGTCGTCTATGCCGGCATTTAACTTAATGCTCACATGCGACGACAGCGTAAAACGATTTGAGACCTGGATTAGATACCAAGCTGCAGCAACAGGAGTTTACAGGGGGCGGAACAAGGGGTCAGGGGTCAGGGTTCATGGGTCAGGTGTTAAGGGGTGGCAATGCCGTTTCATGGAAATAAAGCGTGTAATTGTTTTGGCAGCTGCCGAAACGTTTTAACAGCTAATTAAGGTGCCATCAGACACAGGAAAATTAGATGAGAAAGACGAGAAAGTAGAGAAAGCTGCGGAAAAAATAAAAAATAAAAAATAAAAAGAAAAATAGTCAAGCAGCAGCCAGAAATTATCTGTCTCTTTTTTCAAACATTCACTGCAGCTTATTACACTTGCTTTCAAATCAATTGATCGACTGTGGATAGTAGAAATTGTGCTACGGAAATCTCTTACAAAGTAACGAATAATGAGAAGTCCATTCAAATTTGGCTTAAAGTGATGTCTGCAACAGCTAAATATGTATAAATTTATTTTATATAAATATATAAAACACTTATAAACAAGGTTCATATAGATAAATGTATTAAAAGTACAAGTTATGGACTTTGGAAGTGAGCTTAGAAATGGTTAACATGAAAATGGCTCAAAAATATGTTCAACTTTAAATTGGGAAATTTTGAATGCAGATTAAATACTAAAACCACAAGTTTTAAGTTAAATATTTAGACTGAATTTGATTGTTTATTTATTTAAAATATATTTAACTTTAATAAAATGCACTTTAAATAGGAACTTTTTTTAATCTTATATTTTCCGCATTATTACAAATATTGTATTATTAAATCATGCAATTTAATGTGCATTGAATTTAATATTAAGACTTGTTATACAATTTATAGTTGGAATTTTACTTTTTGAATGGTTAGATATTTATTTATACTATTCCATTTCTTTGTTAGTGAACTATTATTTCTTAGAACTATGACATTTTGGATTGAAGTGGGCCAAGTTATTGGCCCAGAAATGAAAGACCTGATCTAATCCAAGTGAGTGCCCCGCTGCACTTACTTGCATATTTCTTTCAGGACTGTAGAGTCCCTAGTTGCCGAGTTGGCTTGGCAAAGCCGCAGTCGGCAGAGCAATCTCATTAACACCTTTCGCCGGGGTCGCGAGCAATCTCGAGTAATTAAATTCGTCGGACGGAAGCCCTGTCGTTCGCCCTTACCTTTAACACTAATAAGTGGGAGATCAGCCGGCGGTTCGTGGGTATCCAAATGGTATCCGTGGGTATTTTTTGTTTGTCTCCTGAAATGAATGTGAAATCTGAACGCTGAAATCCGAAAGTCGAAAGCTGAGAGCCGAAAGTCAGCGCTGGAAAACAATACATTAAGCGACTTTCAATCTCCCAGTGGGTGGTTTCACAATACATACACTTGCGGTAAAACTAATAGTTACTTTTTAGCTTAAAAAAATTGCAATAAAAAATTGCAATCAAAAATTGCTTGAAAGCTACTTTGTAAATTAAACTAAATGGGGCGAAAATGAATATCCACATATAATATACGTAAAAAATATTTTTTTTAAATTAAAAAAAAATGGAAGAACTAATTTTTTTTATTTGTAATGACATAAATGGATCAGATATTACCAACAATTTTATTCCAATGCAAAGTGCTTGTTTTCCTAAATTGTTACAAAATCATTAGCTATAGTATATTGAAAAGTGAATTTTAAGGAATTATTAAAAGTTTTAATTTTCCTTGACAAAATTTAATAAGATTTTTAATTACTCATTTTGTTTATTGTTAGTATTGTACACTCAGAAAACTAAATTGCCCTAATTTTAGGACCAAATTTCTGTAAGCAATAATGGATAATCCATGCTTTAAAAGTTATGACTTCGAGCAGTTAACATTGTTCAAGTACTATTATTTTGATCGTAATTGTAGCTGTGTGTGTTGTGTGGGTGGTGTGTGTGTGTGTGTGTACACACTCGCACAGAGGGACGCGCACACACGTATGGCACCGGAAAATGTGTTCATTTCCGGTGTCAGTGTCAGAGGCAACAATGGGGCAGCTTCTCGCCAACTTTTGCCCGCCGTGACTTTGATGAAAAATCGCGAAGCTGACGCTGCCAGTCGACCTCTGAAACGTGTGTGTCACTAGAGATGGCAGAGTGACGATATCTGTACAAGAGGATCTTTAAACTTTGATTTAAAAGTATATATATATTTTATTTAAATATTACACGTCTGAAAGAAAATAAAGATGCTTGGAATATTCCTTTTAAAAAGTCAAATAAGGCTGCTTATAGTTTTGTTTTAAATATCATTTTAAAAAAAAACGAAATTAAAATATTTACAATATTATTGAACAATCTAAAGCAAGTTAGGTGTATGTAAAACATATTATAGCGGATATTCATTTTTTTCGACTATACTTTTTATGCAAAAACTCAATTTAAATATATAATTTTTAAACAATTGAAGTTGTCACTTTAAGACATGGAAAGTGCATAAATATGTGAAATACTGTAGCTACTGCTTTAAAAAAAATTTTCATGGCATTTAATCTAACTTATTTTGTATATAATTCGATTTCAATTTGTTGCTTTAAGTGTACAAAATTGGACGAGTTTAGATTTTTTAAATCTATAAGAAAATCTTTTGGAGACTGCAAATAGTTGGCCATCTCTGGGACTCGAACACACACACTGACACACCAACGTACTCACACACACTCGACTCCCTTATGTGCGATGCACTTCATTCAGGCGAAAAGAGAAGAGACATCATAATAATGTGGCCCATGTGGAAAACAAAGCAAACAAGCAAACAAAACCCAACCAACAAGTGAGCAGACAAAAGCAAAAAGAACCAGCAGAACGCCAAAAAGTAGGCAACACACACACACACGAATACCTATGCATTCTCACAAATACACTGCTAAACAAAATGTAGTAAACCCAAGTACTTAATTTAAATGTTTTAAGCTTTGATTTTTAAACATTGCGGTTCTTAAATATGCTAAAAATTAAAAATATTGAAATTTTGTTTGGAATTTATTTTAGTATGTGTGCGTGCGTTTAAATCAATATGGAACTATTTTAAATCTAACCATTTTCACAATAATTAAAATATTTAAAAATAAAATCATTCAATTTAATATGCACTGCACTTAATGCTATGATTTAAAACTTAATTTAACATTTTTATTTCAATATTAAAATATTTAAGTTTACAATTCCATTTTTTAATCAGTGTACACACACACACACATACACACAGGTGCCCAAATGCAGCGTATATATTTTTAATTTCCTGTTATACATGTGCATTTTATGAAAGAAGGAGGAACAGCAAATATGGCAACCGCAATCTATAGTTATGATATATACCCCCTCCTACATAGTATACATGTGTTTGTGGTTTAGGAACCCATAATTAAAAGTAGCACAGGTACAAAGAACCCCGTAATGGAAATAATGCAATTTGTCGTACAACAAAGTCACTCAACAACTTATTAAAGCTGCAT